AATAATTGGGGGGGGGGGTTGATGGCATAGTTGCAGCCACCATATTGACTTTCTGACCTTACCCAGTGGATGCCCTTGCATCAGGGGCTTTGCTGCTTGCATGGCTTCAGCCCAAGACTAAATGGCAACGGGAAATTGCAGATATGGGCATGCACATCCTTGGAACCCCATATTATGTGTCAAAATAGAGAGCAGATCCATTTGCTTCAACTGCTTAAATGGTATGTGCTTTCAGATGCATCTGCAAATGTGCATTCCTTTTCCATATGAGGATAAGTATTTGAATAAACAGTCAGTTCTATATGTCATTGAAAACAAAGTATGAATTGAACAAAGATAGGGGTTTTAGATCTGCACCTTTGATATGGATTGTAAATCCAAATCTAGGGAATATTGTTTCTGTGTAAAAGTGTAAAAGAAAGAAGGAAGGATATCTTAACCAAGAAAGTAGGAAAAAATATACCCTGAAGATAGATTAGCAAGTGATTCATTCAGATAGTTCAAGAAATATGGAGAGTGCTTTCACTTCAATCATTCTTATGGCTCTCAGATCTGGGCTACAAAAATCTGGATGACCATAAGAAGACAGCAAAGAGATTTAGGAAACTCTCTTTGTAGCCATCTAGTGGCTGCCTGGAGTTTTGCAGCCCAGCTGCCATGGCTAATGAATTTGAACCCAATCAGAAGCTGTAGGAAAGCAAAAAAGGTGGGGTGGAATGGGGTGCATTACAAGTGACCTAATAATATCTTTTATGGATAAAGAGATCATAGGAAACAGTGAGTCATGTGGGGCACCAACATCTCTGGTACCTGGAGAAGCCCAGGCAGACATACTGTAGTTGCTGCTTTTGTGCTACCTTTTCACTTTTGTGTATAACATTTCTTTCATCTCATCCTCCTCCAGTTTTCTTCTCATCGTTCTTCTGCAGCTAAGCACTTGATCTTCAGTGTGTATTAACTTGCTGTTCAAATTCTGTTACCAATAAATGTGTAAATGAAGTCAGAACACCATCTACCCATTTCATTCAGTTATGCCAAAAAAAAAAAAAAGTTTAAGTGGTTTCCTTAAAAATAAAATAAATAAAGAACTTTGTTACAGACACCCACAAAGTGTTGGTTCTCTCCTCAGGGGCTCCATAATGTCTATGTTCCCAGCTTTTATTTATTTTTTAAATTATTCTCTAGTTCTTCAAAAAACTGAAATATGAGGTAATATGTGTAGTCACTTTTCTTCCTCTATTGTAACAAGCCTTTACGTCTTTTTGGAAAAAGTTTAATCAGGGAACATATGCTCCCAGCAGTGATGGAACATATATGCTGTCTGGAGAAAGAAGCACCTGATTATTACTTTTAATTCTTCCATGCCCAGAAATAAGTTCTCTGCATCTCTTCCTCAGACTCCATAGTCTGAGAAATACATGCCTGCAAATTTCATCAAATTACGTTTTTAAAAAAATTAAATGCCTGTTAACTTAAAATGGATTGTGTATGTTTGAAATATAGTCTAAAGTCTTTCAGTTAGAATCTGGTCACGTATTATCTAGGAGGAATGCCGTGCTCTCATAATTAACTCTGGATAGCTCAATCACTTGAGCTAGGAATAAATGTAAAAAATTCTATTAAATGGTATGATTTTAACATTATATTTGGAAGTCCAGGAGTGTATTTTCATAGAATTTAATCCCTGTGTATCTGCATACAGATAAACAGACATCTCGTTTTATTTGACTACACAGACAACTGGACCTCCTGCTGCCAAGCCATTCAGTGGAATTCTTGTTGGAAAATTTCCGAAGGATGATCATCTGCTTTCCCAGGCAACAAGGACTGTGGCTTATGGGGGAGAATGTGCTTTGCAAGCAGAACATTTTATATAAGACTCCCCAGAGAGCTGTTGCCAGTCACAGTTGACAATATTAGGCTAAAAGGACCAGGCTCAATGTTCTGATACCATAGGGCAGCTTCTTGGGTTTCATTAGATTTGTAGATCTGTTACTTATTCTAGACACTTGGGCATATCTGCACCCTGAATCCTAGCCATCTCCTGACATCTTGGTTCATGATTCTAGGACAAGTCATTCATGTCTTTTTTATGGCACATTTAGACAAGACTGTAAAAGAACATTTCTCTAGCAAATAAAAAATGTATGCACAAAACTATGGGGGAAAATGTTACTACTGTATGTTGCTTTGCTTGATTTGTCAGAAAGCATAGCTGGGTGATTAACTCAGTCTTTGGAGTGCAAAATGTTTATCATACTTTTTCTCCCAGTTCCTGAATGAGAATGAGAGAGTCTATGATCAGAAAAACTGTCCATGTTAAACAAAGCAATGAATTCCTTATTTGCAAAATTGCCTATGGGGTCTTTGTAGGACCTAGAGGCAATTTTAGAAATCAAGGTGATGTTTCAAGTGGCCTTTTGACACTGCAGTAGGCTAGCTTCTGACTTATCTCTTTTTGTAAATTAGAATACTCTTAAAAAATTTTAAAAGGTTGGGTGTAGAGTGGGTCAGCCATTAGATCATTGTTCCCAGACCCATTGGTGCTGATGGACTCATGGGTCCATGCTCTTTTTACCATTCACATATTAAAAACGGTGGCAGGAAACTTGATTTAAACTATTACCTATATGAAATAGCTCTGATGTGCTGCATGTTTCTTCCCATCTCTTTGTTTCTAAGCCAAAAATACAGCAAAGTTTCTTTGTACCCGTAAACTTTATTAAAATATGTGCTTCTTCAGTCTTAAGTTAAATTTAAAAAGTATTTTGACTCTTACAGAAATAGCATCAGAGTGAGGAAATGAGAGGATTACAATGCAAAGAAATAACATAAAATAGCACATACAAAGGAAAGAAATTCCCCCTGCCCCATTAATAAAAAAAGGCATGGATCTCTCTCTTGGCAGGCTTTAGATAGTTTACCCTACATGGTGTATCTTGTATGCTGGAAAGAAAAGGAGAGATAAAGCAATAACTATCTAAAATAAATAAACTTCATATGGTATGAAGGAAAAGGAGCCATAAAATTCACAAAATATAAAATGATGCTGCATCTATTTGCATTTATTGTATCAGTTATTCTGAAGAGTATGAAATTCATTCATCAGGCCTCTTGACAACCTGACTTGAAATTTTATTGAGTAACAAACTTGTGAGTTTATTGTATATCCTGCTAGGGCAAAAAGTAACAATCTTGGAGTAATGTTGAAAAGCTGCATCCTTTAGCTTTTCAGCAAGGAAATTGTAGGTTTACATTCAGAGAAAAAGACATTGCAAACTCCAGGTAGTGGAGCAAGGCCCTGATTCAGCCATTACAGAAAAAAGCAACAATATAGTATTTTGCAACGTACAAATCAGTACTTATCTTTAAGTGGTCTGATATGATATTGTTTTAGATAAAGATGACCCTCCAGGCATAAATGTTGGTGAGTAGATGGATGTATTCCCTTTGAGAACATTTTCTGATTCTCCCATTGCTCCAAGAACTGAACATCACAATTTTATAAAATACATCTTCCCATTTTAGAACATTTCAGCTCCCTGTCATCTCTAGAGAAGAGAACATTGCTCCAAGATAGCTCCATCAAAGAATTCATGTTTTCATCTGGAAACCTTCACCCAGATCCAAGGAGATTAGAGAGAGGAAATAAACTCACAAGATTTATTCAGTTATTACAAAACTGATCCACCTCAGACTCGACAAGGACAACAGGGATTCATTTGCTGTAAGATACAGTTACTGACTCTTATATGGTAAAGCCCTATGTTCCATTGACACTAAATTATTTTGCTGGAATATACTATGCAACTATGAGAGCTAAACATGCTCACTTGATACACGTCACTTTGAGTTTTTAACAAAACTGAGATACACTTGAAAAAGACAACTTAGGCCAAGCTAGATGATGTGGAGTGCCAGTTTGTCCTTTGCTTTCAGAATGTGGTACATGTTACTTTAATAATCAATGAATGAATGGTCTAATATGCACATTACCTCTCTGCAGCTGGTTATTCCATCAACTTTTAAGCCTTTCTAGTTCCAACTATGAGGTGAAAGAAAACAGCCTGGAGCAATAGACCAGTGAGAAATAAGGTGTTGGAGATGGGAATATGTAGTGTGTTTCTTTAGAATTTACCAGTAAAGTGATAGAAATGGAATAAGACATGTATCAGCCACTGTCACTTCTAGCTTGGCCTTAAAAGTGCAACTATGAATTTGACAGAAATATTGAAAGATGCATTCTATGTAGAATGATACAATGGTACAAATATTCACAGAGACAGTGAGACACTTAGTAATTCTAAATCTGTAATTACTGTAGATTGTCATGTCAGCAAACAATTGTCTAGGATTTGGTACAGAAGTGCCAGACCAATTGCAAACTCGTGCTATTACTCTTGCGGTGTAAACTGTATTTTTTTATAAATTGCCAACCTGTGCTACCTTATTAAGGACAAGCTGTCATCCCTCCGATGCAGAGATGACTAAGAACAATTGGTCCAAACAATCGCCAATATCATTACCTGTTAGCAAGTCAGAAAGTGACATAGACATAAAAGTTTATGAAAGGTTTCCTGTTTTGTTTCTGATTTTAGTTGAGAATAATTTCATTGATCCAGTTTTTTGGGGTGGGGAGGGGAACAGAGAGATGAACCGTATTTCAAACAGCACTGTGGTTCCCAGTGCTCTGAACAGTTGCAGTGTGGCATCCATTCTAGGGCACTTGGAAGTTTGAGCTTAAAAAGTGCAACATAATAGAGGCCGTGCCCATACTGCTGCTGCAGCTATTTTGCCTTTTAGAGTCATAGGCACAATAGCTGTTCCAGTAGGTGATAACCATATTTGGGATGAATCATGAACTCATAAATACCTAAGACAAAAAAGCTGGAGGTATTCCAAATGACTTCCTAGCTGTTTTCCCTTCTTTGTTGGGGTAGTTATAAAATATTTACTCAGAAGTTTTATGGCACAAGACACGTTCAGAAAAGGGTTAGAGTTGGGACATTCTGAGCTGAGAGAGAAAGCTATCTTGATTGGTTGGAGGTAGTGACTGATGACCCCACGACCTCTTGAGCTGAAATGGGAGAGATGACAGGGAAAATGACTTGGCTTTCTTTTTCCTACTGTTGACTCATCAACTCAGCCCATCTGTCACTGGACTGTGGGCAGGGAAATCTGAGCCAATATAAGGCTTTATGGAGACAACAGGTGGGTGAGTCAGGGGTGGACGAATAAGGCTTTGAAATGCCTTTCAAATTATAATGAAGATATTTTATCTTAATTAGTTTGGATATTGGATCTTCTTTGAGAAAACATCTAGATTTGGGGTCACGTGTTTGGACAAGGCCTCACACCACTCTTCAGTAAATGCCTAATGACCCGATCCCAAGGGTGTAGATTAGCTTTAGTAACACAAACAGAGAAGTATTGTTACTCAGTAGGAAATTAGAATGTGTTAGTAGAGCTAAAAAGTTATCTGCTGTTCCTCGTAGCTTTGGACGAAATCTGGTTTCATGCCAGATGCTACTGTTCTAATGTCCTTATTAAGTCAGGTGGGGATCAGGTGCATAAACAATTTTGTAATGCATACAAGAATTGAAATGTTTAGTGATTTTATTTTTCACAATGAAACTCTTTCCTCTCATAATAAACCTGTTCTGAGCCACTTTAGCAATGCAGAAGTCTAAATCTAGCTCATATGAGTTGACAAAGTAGAACAGGTCAAACTGGAAAAATGTCTTGAATCCTGATTATGTTGGTTACCAACCTGACCAACTAAAGCTATTAAAAAAAAAAAAATCTGGGCACTGATACTAGAATCCACAGACTGAGGCACCAAATTATTTTATAAAAACTCCAAAAATAACATATGGAAAATAAATGTCTGTCTCTGTGAGGTCTCATAGTCAATAGTCCTATCCATAACCTAAGTGGCAGTCTTCTGGATTTGTGAAACTGGATACCATAAATCCTGAACAACAGAGCAAGTAAATAAATGTTTGCATTAAAACAAAAATATTAATTGGAATCACTAGACTTTAGCACAAATATTAGATTTCCATCTCTATTGATATGTACAAAAATATATTTTTTCCCTTTTAATATGTTTAAATTACTATTTTTCCAGCCTTAATCCCAGCCGAAGTCGTGGCCAGTCATCTGGTAGAACTTCATGTTGAACGGCCGATAAAATTCTCGCAGCCTCTGCACTACTTTCTGGTCAATGTTGGGGTGGGTCCTTCCCTTCGTTTTACCCAGGCAGTGGGGCTTGCTGCTGCCTTCGGCCTTTTTCAGGCATGGGAACCCCTTGGTTTTGTTGAAGTAGAAATGTTTGTCTGTGATGATCCTCTTGAGGCCCAGAAAGTCCTGGACCCGGCCCAACTCGCCTGCTGGATCACTGATCAGTCTCTCCCCACTGACAAAAAGGATTTGCCCAAGGGGGAAGTACAGGAGCCAATTTTCCAGGTGCTTGGCATAAATACCAATCTGGATGGCACTCCAGGAGGTATCGATCAGGCCCGTAGTCCTGTTTTTGAAGGTCAGGCTCTCAAAGTTGGGGATGTCTGGCTTCTTGGAAAGGGTTTGCGTGTAGTCAGAAATGGCTCGGGTGACTGGGTCTCTCACCACCACGATGAGCTTGGTGTCCTTCGACATAGAGGAGATGCGAGCTGGTGCTTCCTTAGTGACAAAGTAGCTGGGAGTCTTCTCCATGGTGATCTGGCCATCAAGAGTTCTGGGCATCAAATCCCTTATGCAAAACAGAAGAGAGAAATTACATTTGCAGACATTTGCACATGCCTATCTTCAGCTCAATCACAGAAAATAATGGAATTCATGTATGGGATCTCAGCTATGGGGCAGATTTTGAAACATTTGAGCATCAGTTTTTTAATGGATAAGGTGTATTTTGAGTTGAGATCAATTCCTAAAGCCTGGTATATTCTAATGGTCTCCCAAGTCTGATTTCACTTAGCTTTTTGAAACCAACCAAAGTTGGTGAGAGATACAATTTCTTATAAACAAATACTGTATCAGACAGGATAACTCATGGAAGTTGGAACCCCATTTATAGAATCCTCGTTTATTCTATAACATAGAAACATTGGTAAAGGGCAGACCAGTTCATGTCTAGTGTAGATTGGGCGAGGATCAGGAATACTGAATGACTTCTATAACTGAATGGGGATTTGAGAATCGCTTTTCATATCCAAATTCAGCACTCAGATAACTTCACCACATTGGTTATTTTACAAATGTGTAGCAAGTAGGTGGGAGGACTTTTTCAGAGTTTTGAAACAGTCAAAATTATTTCTGGAAAATGGTGCACGTGGAAATTATTCTAGTATGAGAGTCTCATGAGCTATTCTTTCCTATGTTTACTGTTCAGTTATACAGCATTTTATCAAAAAGTCCCATTAGATTTCCAAACCACGTCATTCTAATATGTGATTATACAGGCAATGTCTTCATCTCACCATGCTCTCCAGTCTAGTCTTACTTTCTTAAGCACATGAGGCTAAGCATTGCTAGGATCATCTATTTAAGAGAAAGATCTGCAACCTTCACCTGTTAAAAATGATACTGACCAAAAAAAAAAAAAAAGTCTGCCAAAATTCAGCTCCCCCAAATGAAAGATTTCCCCAGAAAATTGACAATAAGGTCAGATGCAGACATGTTGAACATTATGTGCTCTTATGAATAAGAACCATTTATCCAAGCAAATACCAAAGAATGGTTGTGTTTACAACTGGATTTACTTGGAGAATGAACCTTCTAGGTGGCATTTTGGCAACACAATGATCTTCACACTGTGAAGAAATGAATATTCAGTCTGTTGGCAGGCTGAAACCACTGACTGCATATCGTTGAGATCCACTAGGAATGTTGTGCCACAACCCTGGAGAGATTGACTAATGACCTAGGCATCTTCCATAGACTGTAAGACTATATGGATTGGTGGCATCTGGACTTAATTGAAAAAAAAATGCCACTAAAAATTATCAGAGCTACATAAATATTTGGGCAAGAATAATTTTGAAATGCCTTTTGCTCAGATAAATGGGCGTTTGTTATTTTAATGTTAGTAGGTCAGTGGAGGATGCGTTGGCTTAATTACTTATTTGAGGAAGACAACTCCTCTAAAAGGGAGTATCTTTTGTATTGTTGGCATATGGTGCCAGAGGAATTATCTAGAATGCATAAAAACACTTCAAATGTATGTTGGAAATGTGAACAATATGACGGGACATTTTATCATGGACACGTAAAAAAGCTAAAAAAAAAAAAATTCAAATACATACTTTGATACAGAGGATTTTAAAGATCAATATTCAATTGAAGCCAAATTGAACTTTCCTTTTAAGACTAATTGATAAATAGTTAGAAAAAGGCCATGGAAGATTATTTCAATATACAGTTACTGTGGTGAGATTATTATATGCACAGCGATGGAAAGATTCAACACTACCCACTATGGAGGAATGGTTGGTGAAATTGATAGATCTTGCTGAGATGGATAAATTAACTTCTTTGATTAGAGAAAAGACACTATCCACATTGATTAGTGGCTGGAATCCTCTTATGGACTTTTTGTGTAAAAATGAAAAAATGAACTTGTTATTTATGGCTTTGATGATTAGACAGGATAGATTATAGAAAGAAAAATATTATGATGTAACTTTAAAGAGAGATATAATTGTACTTATAACTGCTGTGAAGAATATCGGAAGCCACTTCTTTGTATCTTTTTTTCTTTCTTTTGTATTTTTTTAACTTTTTTTCGTTTCTTGCACTTTTTTATTTCTCTTTGCTTTCTTTCTTCTTTTTTCTTCCTTACTTTATATTAGTATGTATTAGTTTTTAATCTTTTTTAAAGTTTCAATAAAAATCATATAAAAAAATAAAAGGGAGTGACTTTTCAGCTGTATCTACCAATTTAGTATTCAGTCTTAAAACCCACGTTCACTTGGCTATTCAAGTCTCAAGGGTCATGTTTCAGCTGAAGCTTGGAATATTGAAGCTTGCAGTTAAAAAGTAGACTAATGCCCCTAGAGCATCCCCTATTTGACAAAAGTCTGTCCTACAGACACTACTTTCAAACAATGTAGGAACATATCCTGTGTGGATTTGAGCTGCAGCACCAGTGGAGCTATCTAGCCTTATTTAACTTGTATGTTGAATGGGTTTATACATAATTACATTACATATAGCTTTCATTGAGCCCTCGGTTGATCAGGTATTGAGCACCAAAGGTGTTCTTTAAATAGTTAGATGCGAGAGTTGAAGGCATCTGAAGCTTCTACATGAGAATGTAGGGAACCATGGAAATGACCTTGGACAAACTATCCAGAATCCATTAAACAGGTGCATAAGCATGCTTTGGGCCCAGAGCAAAGAGAAAGTATTAGAAACAGACTCAGACTGGCTCTCCCCCTGAGTCCCTGGGGTATAAGAGGGAAGGAAGGGAAAACACAGACTATAATTATTCTGTTACTATATTTTTCTCAATAAAGTATAATACTAGTTTTCTTGTGAAGTCTATTTCTTGATTTGGACAGCCTTGTAGGGCTGACAGAGAATCAGTAAAAGCTTTGAGATGGTCCATCAATCACATCCAATTGACTTGATTTACTGACCTGGCACTAACAAGATGTTGAATGATTACTTGAGCATCTTCATTCCACAAAGATGGGCTTCATGGAAATAGCAAATACATGTATCTTCCCTATAGGTTACTTATGTTTTCCAGGGCATACAGTATGTACAGCTTAGTTCCAAAATGAGTATTGGCCAAGGACATGCATTCAGGAAGATGGCTGTAGTATATACACAGCTGCATACAATATGATAGCTCCACTTAACCTAACCCCTTTAATTCCTCTCAACCATGCTGGGGAGTTTCTGTTTGTCTGTTGTTTTGCAATGGCTGATGGCAATTTACTGAATGGACAAATGTGTCTAGAATGATATAGACTTTGGATGTCAGCTGAGGAAGAAAAGAGCAGCAGTGGGCAAGCTTGTAAACAGCACAGATTTAGTTTCCATGTGGATGCCCTTGGGCATAGTGAACAAAGAGTGCCATATCATAGCATACTGGTGTAGCAGATCCAATTCTGAGTGCATTCACGAATAGACATAGTCATCTATTTTTATCTTTGGCTGCCTTACCCTTAACCTGGCCATAGCTCTCAGAGGGTGTTCTGGCCGTTAAATATTTGCCAGAATAACAATGAGAAAAAAATGGATGCCAAAACTCCAAACACACACATACACACACACACACACACACAAACACACACACACACAAGCCTGGTACAAGGCCCAGCCTTCAGAATGACACTCAGTTCTCTGTTCAAGTTGCCAAGTTCCAACAGCTAAGGTCTCATTGTAGAAACAAAATAACCTATGTATACAAACCACACCGTACTTTCAGATATTAATTTCTACAGTTTTGTTGGTTAAAGAGGTGATGCTTATGGAGTATATGCAGATGGCCTGTCGCTATCAATCCAAAAAAGTTCCATGGTGAGCCCCAGGGATATGCATTCAGATTAGAAACGGGAACAGAGAAAGTCTGTTGGTTCTCATTCACAGCTAACACACTAATGATCTGGATCACAATCATCCTTTAGTTTTCACATTACTCTGGAAATCAATATCTATGGGTGCATCTGGTGTCAACCACAGCATATTGAAGATTGTGACTTGGAATATTAGAAGAATGAATTTAAAAGACAAGAAATTAATGAAAGAAAAATAGATCAGTTATGTGTCTGTGAAACAATGTCAACTAGGTTGCTGCAGGTGCGTATGAAAATACAAATCCATAGGCTGGTGATCGTTGCATGTTAAGCTGCAATGATTGATGATAATGGATGAATCAAATATGAGTTTGGTGGAAAACTGTGCAACATTCTGAAAATATGTAATCCAGGGGAAATTATTCTGTTCGATGACATGAATAGCTGGATAGGAATGAGATGTTAGGAATGGAGCTGGCATAGCATAGACTTCTTCCCAAATTAGTGAGAACATTACATCAACAAATCTGCACTGTAGGGCTAAATATCTGTTAATCTGGAAAGATGAGATGAAAAGGCCTAGAATTTAAACTCTGGAGTACTGATGTGTGTCTGCTTTTGTGTAAAATTGTTTAATTGTTTAAGATTGAAATTTGAATTTTAAAAACTTTTAAACACTTAAATGTAGGGATCACTCAAAATATATAGCAGTCTTGAAATGACACTTATTTTAATAACTTTTGTTCTTTCTGTCTTCTTTCTCAAAGATGTGCAAGTATTTTAATTATCTATTAATATTTATATTAATCCAACAGACAATTAGAAATACTTACTTCTACAAGCATGGAAATATTTTTCAGAATAATTATTTCCAGGTATTCCAAGGAACTGAAGCAAAATGCAAAACCCTAAACTTTACAAATATTCATAGGTACCTTAGCTCCTATAAAAATATGTGAGATTTATTTAGAATGCATTTATTAATTAATTTAGAAAAAGTCTGATTGTTAAAAGAAGGTAAGCAGATTTATTCATCTATTTTTAGAATCTAGTCAAGGACAGGGATTCCTTTAGATCATAATACAGGTAATAACTGGCGTACTGGGGCTGTCATGACTCTTCCCATCTTAACGCTAACCTTTCTGCAGAAGACAACTGTGATTTTTTGTATGTCTTATAACCATCCCCTGGAGAAAAGGCAGCTAGCCAGCCACAGAATGAGA